GCTGGAGTGTCTGTCGAACTTGAATCAAATACGTTGGCTAGATCGTTAGTATGCCCAGTGATTATCTTCATCGGCGTGCAATATCCGGCGGCGCGGTACCCGATTGTCCTCGAATCAGAAGTGGCAGGCCAACGATGTGGTATAACGGTATCGTAAAAATTAATGAGGCTGCGACGTGTCGTCCTCGCTGACGGAGGCCTGAGACAGTCCACGCTAGTGATGAACCTGTGTTAAGTGTCTGACATGTAGCTGATGATATTCGATTACGATGACCATTGAGCTTTTTTCCAAGCTCCCATTTGGGTAATATATTTGCATTCTACCTCTTTATCCATCGTTATGTATCCTCATCATGAGCATGCAGAGCATGGAAAATGGATCCACCACACTCAACCGCCTAATTCTCGGCATGTACAATTGGGCAATGAAAAATGACACCCTCAGTGAAGCCAGGGGTGTGGTAAGCTAAAAGTAAGTATGGTTGCGCCAGCAGCCAAGAACACAACAGTGCCGGCAAAAAATGGAGCAACCTGACACCTAACACGGCGAGAGCGCCAGATTGATGTGTGCTGCGTAATAACGCAAAATCAGTAATCGATAAGGGCTTCGAGCTAGAACACACCGTGAGAGGTTGCTCGGGGGCACAGTGCCTGGCTGAAAGAGGTCTACATCCAGTGTGGAACTGTCTACCGTCCAACTACTGTCCTGTGCACGTCTGGTAATGTATGTTTTAACCTGTTCATAGGAGTGATGTGCAAGCTGTACAAGTGTGCGTCAGGCCTGAAGCAAGCGTGACTCGAAGCTAGATGTGATAACATGTCTGCCGGACCGACTATTATCGATCCAAGTGGGAGGAAAGGTGTCTCAGCTTGTTGGGAACCGACTTGTGTATTGCTATTGTTTGAATTGTTCATAGTTCCATCCAACCTCATTCTATGGTTGGCCACGACTGCGCTGATGACGTGAGGTGAAGAATTGAAGCGTTCAGGGTAATAATTATCCAAGTGCCAAGCGCAACGTCATGCGCTCTCTGACCTTAGTAAAAAAGCCGCCAGACGCGAAATGAGCCGAATAGTGGAAAGGGCTGGGCTGCATGATCGTACAAAAGCTATGCATACAAAGAGATATATCTGTTAAAGTGGTGCTGATATACATGCCCGCATGGAAGTGCGGGTGAAAGTTTTCGAGGGAATGCTTTGCAGACAATCTAACGGACGACCGTATTACTTTATGTGAACAGAGGACAAGGTCTTCACTTGTTAATTTCACCAGTTACCCAGTTATCTCGAAATCCTTTGTAACCCCGCATCGATAAACGATGTCATGTGATTTCGACGACGGGAATGTCTTGTATCGCCGATACATACACTATCGAATCTACACCAGACATGGGGGGTGTAGATGAAGCTGCAGGTTGTGCAGCGCAAGCCATCCATGGTCCCTCATTAAGACGCAGCCATAGCGCTGATGTCCGCAACCCCCGTGACAGTTAATCCGGAACAGGATGCCGCCAACGATAAAATCAAGTGTAGAGTCAAACGAATTGATTCATTCGCTACATATAACGGTAGCGAGTTGTATAACTGAACATTCTATAGACCAAAGTGTTTCCGAGTAAAAAGAGCGAACATACAAAGATTTGTAATATTCTCAACAGGATTGATACCAGCAAAACCACGCCATACCAACAAAGATAACACAACGCAAATGATACAAAGTAAGAGTAACTGGCACGATCAATTGCACACTCACTTAAATGAACAGAACTGATGTGTCCTTGCAAACTGCGCTTCGCAGAATACGATCTGCCACAATGTTCACATATATGGGGTCGTTGCTCTGAAGTAGGGAACCGAAAACGATCCAATGGAGACCAATGACGAAGTGAAAACAGACAATGAATAGGGAATGGTCGAGTAGAATGAGTGCCCGCAAGTCGCAACACGACAGATAGTAAACGATGGCCACCAAATTCGAGGATTCGTAGTGTAAATCAATGGCTTACAATGTTCGAGGACAGTGTAAGCAACGATTGCTTCCAAACACACACCCACACACACCGGTGACTCCACAACTGAACTCCGGCAGAAGCACAAACAATATAACGGTGATGCAACCTCCACAGATCACCAAATCATTTAAAACCATATCATTTCGTACCCTAAAATATGCAGTCAAAAGAAGAAATCACGATGCCTTAAATCTTGTACGTACAAGGGTTCACGAATCGCAGTCTAATACCATAATGGGGAAGCAGATGGACCAAAGGAATCAGTTGAATTCCATTTATGGTGCAATTTCGACATTTCGACAGACTCCGCGACATTGAGACAAGTCGCACGCCAAAGAAAAAAAGCGCATTACGGTGAACTTTGACTACTATGAGTGATAGTGAGTTCTGCTAACGGCAAAGAGGCATTACGGTCCGTCAATCATCACATGAGGTGCGCATATTTCCAGACATCTCTTGGAACCTTCGAAAGGGAATAACAAACGTAAGAAAGTTCGTAAGTCTGACCAGAAACGAACGATTCATGTTTACGGAGTTCCTGTGTTTCAACCACTCTCCTCTGAAAAAGCAGAAACACAAGACCAAGAACATTACATTTTCCAGGACGTATCCTCCCACAACATCGTTGCTGAGCGATTGACAATAAATTCAGTTTCAACCCGCTACAGCGAGAACGGTCTCAGGCTGATGAAGGTTACGCTGCCGGGCATTACATGCCTGCTTTGAACTCCGAAGGGTCGGGTTCGAGCCTGCGTAAGGACCAGACGATCCCCGCAGTAACCTAAGCCAGCATGCGACTGTTGGTGGTTGCGTTGGCAGCAAAGCGACGGTATTGCATACCGGTGCACTGCTGATATCGTTTCCAGTCTGAGACTAAGACACCACTGACCGGGAAAAATGGTATAAATTCCCCAAGAAGCTACCCATAAAACTAGGGTTAAAGATGGCAGGTACACGGCCACATGTGGTTGACGACCAACTGGGATGACACACAAGGTACAGATTTGTGAAAGGTTTGATGTAATGGCAAACTCAGTATCGAATGGAATACTACTAAATACGAGAGGCCACGTTCCGTTCCATTGCATGCAATTGACCACAAACCAGCTGTTTCGGTCCCCGAGTCGAATACATACGGCGGACATGCCCGAACCACTTTAGGTGACGTAGCAGAAGTGTGCAGCACACCGCATATTTACCATTGCGGCGGAGCACCTCAGTGTCAGCAATCCTGAAACAACAGCCGATGCTCAAGATACGACGCAGGCAATGTTGACGGAAGTGCTCCAGCTAACAGACGTCCTTCTCGTACTTCGTTTAGGTTCCGCTGCCATACAAAAGAACGGAGAGAGACATCGACGTGCATAGCAACAGTTATGTATCAACGATCAGCTAGTGATTCTTCAACACCCCATTTCCCAGTCGGCCAAATACAGCACCCACAACCGATACCCGGATGCACAGCCAAATCGAGATCACTCCTAAAGTGAAACCACAACTGCAAAGTGTGGTTTCGGCAGGAGTACGAATTCCAATTCTCGTCACGATTGACGGTGAGTCCGAACTTGGTCGCTGTCGAAGCGAGAGCCATCGTCATGCACTGCAGTCCATCCTCAGTGTGTGTCTGAAAACAACGCGCAGCCGTCGGCAAAAAGTAACATGGTGTTCTCACACACCAGGATCCTCGCCACGAAACGACGGATGCTCAGCAACAAACCAACAACACGGGCACCGAAACCACAAGCACCAAAAACACATAACATTAAACACGACAAGAGCAAAGACACAGCATTGTCTAAACTCAGAGACAACATCAAATTCATTTGAGGTTTGTCTACTCAGCTGCACGCATTACATTGTGCAGACATTTACTTAAACATGGACAACCAGATTTACCAAACACCTGTCACAATGCCTCGCGGATCACCACGTCAAATACTACCTTAATGAAGTCGACAAACGGAGAGAACGATGGATGGTGTCGTTCACGGCAATTCCACAGTTGACGAGCCGCGAATACCATATCTTAGGTGATGAGGCCAGAACGAAATCCACATTGCTCTTCCGCTACGTGTGGTTCAAGGAACGGAGCGACAAGTTGAAACAATGACATTCCGTGGCACATTGCTTGCTCCCTTTGACCCAGTACATAAGGGTATACTCCAAACCACCTGTCACCTAGTCTTCAAACAACACGCGTTGCACCAAGTGGTACAGCGCATGATTCAACGTCACTCAGCCGCGATTCGACACTTCTAGTTATCTCGGCAGCTCCGGAGCGTCTAAGGATTCGCAGATGAGTAAGTGCCCTCTCCGTCTCATGCAGCGTCAGGGAGACACAGGCATCTCTCGTAGTTGCAACCAGTGCAACATAACAGAGTACGAAAGGTTGTTCAAGAGACAATGCAAGTGCATTCGTCAGATCTGCATTCTGTCTGCAGTCCGCGTGCAGACATCGCCTTAAGTAGCATCCACCAGTGTTCTCAGCAGTCGCAAGGTGGGTCCATAAACCGCCATAACGGAGTCTAAAAATCCCTTACGTTCGCGGCGTTCGGCGCAGAATTCGATCTGTTCCGCCTCTCCACCTACTATACATTCTTGATGCGACGGAGCACTCGAGTCAATCACCGACGAAGTTTTCGTAAGTGACTTTACTTCACACAGTCGACAGGATCAACCCCATGTGCAGTGAACGCTGCATTCGTCATCGACACTAACGTGCCAATGGTCGCACCGTTGTCATGAAAGCAATCTGGCCACTCATATTTGCAGATCCGATCGCTTCTTCGGTAGCAGCCGTAATCCCAAGAAGCGGTCTCCCCGAGGTGGTAGCCAGGACATGAGTCCACGGCACAACATTGGAAGCAGCGAATCGATGCTCAGTAAGTATCTCGCCACAAATATTTAAACACAAACAAACAAACGTTCTAGCAGAGGGAGAGTCAAATGATGAACGACGCTCATTCGGTCCACTGCAAACTAGCTGGCATAAGAAATGGGAACATTTTGCACAATAACATTTAGCTTCAAAGTAAAAACAACGCAATGTTGATTCGGATGAAATCAAACAAAACCACCGACGATGGTACAACGGGGTGGCATCTTTTGTTAAACACTCACCCAAATGAACAGAACTGATATGCTTTTGCAAATTGCCCTTCTTGGGAAACGATTTACCACAGTGGTCACATGCATGGGGGCGCACTCCTGGAATGGGAAACAAAACGTGAATAATCAAAGTTGAATCACACAAGGAAAACTGTGCAAGATCTGTTAGGATGGGGTATCCGCGTCATGGTACAAAAGGTCATAATGATGATGAAGGAATCGCAATGGACATCTCCGACAAATTATTTCCAATTATCTCGCAATGTGTGAAATTAGTGAAAGGTAATGTATAACCAGTCTGTTGGGAACGACCACTTCATGCGGGTATTGCAAACGAGGTAATGTGCCAACATCTTGCTTTGTCCCCATGATTCACAGTGTATAAGGAAGAACGAGATCTTCATGAAACCATACCAGCATGCCACAGAATGTCCAATCAGTGCAATCGCATAGAGGGAACCACATCATTGATGTGACCAACAGTGTAGGCTGTTCGGTTCGCGTTCAAGTAGCTGCAATTTCCGTCTCCCAAATCATTCTAGTGATCTACTCTGAGTACATCATTCACTTCTTCGATCCCCACAGCCGTGCTAACTAGACAGCCTGCACATCCTTTACATAAGAGTACTAATCGTTGGGTACACGCTCAAAAACGTCAGTTCATGTGACACACGCATGCCGCCGACGTTGTAATGATTTGGGCGGACGAATGTTTCATTAAACTACTTCACAGTTTCTCATTTGACGAAGAACCGGTGCTCCTGTGATGAAGAGTCGATCTACTACGACGTTCGACAACGAGGAGTCGTGATCCTGCAACGTGGGTACAGCTTTCGGTAACAAGCTCGGTTCTCCCTATTCAGCGAAGAATCTCGTTTCAGTATTCCTTATGAGATCACTGCACAAATAAACTGCTTGAAGCATTACAATGGGTTTACAAAACAAGAGTGGAGTTGGTTGACTCCCAACAACTTGCATTGTTCGCCAGTCCAACTGCAATCCATGATGACGGTAGCGCACACGCACATAGATGCACAACACACGCGTACAGAATACACAACGGTTAGTCTGGCAAACAAGGTGACGGGGTCAAAACAGTCACCGCCTGTAATCGAGGTGCACAGCGCTCACGCCCAAATTAGGGACATGGCAGGAGGAGGGCTCTCACCAGCGCTCGCAGCATCAGTCTGAACGAAGAGGCCTCAGTCGCCATCAATAGGTACTTACGAAGTCCTTTCGAGTCGCGTTTTGGCACGACCTAGAAAAAGTTGAAAGGGTTTGTGGTTACTACATCGGCTAGGTGTTCCAAAATAAAGCTGTTGTCAGTTCTAGCAGTGCACATGCACAACGCAGAGGAGCAATGTTCTGCTATGCGTTTGTCAATCGTCTAGTCGTGTGACGGAGGTATCTCACACCCCCAGTTACAAGCGAATTGGTACACGAATCGGGGTAGACCGAGAGTCAAGCATTGAAAGCCGAATAATAAAAAGGGTAATTTCGGCAACAACATGCCAGAAGGCAGCTAGGGACCGCAGGTGCTAATTATTGAATCTAACCGCAAGAACCCCATGCTACAACGGCATACGGTGCACCGGTCGTCAATTGCTACAATCTGGACAAACAAAGTACTATTTCTTGCAAAAAGGAGAGGTTCGTCTTAGGATTGTAAAGCATGCCACATGTCAATATAAACATTAGCATGTGAGCAAAAGACTCTCATATCGATCGATCACGTAAATGCATAAAGACTTGGTGCTCATAACAGGATTCCAAGAATAAGTACTGAGAACGACCAGTTGCTCCCGAAGAATTGAGGGCTAAGTATTAATAATAATAATGATAAGTATATTTCTCCTGATGCGAGAAACTGTGCCTGTACCGGCACAGATAAATTTCTACAGGAGAATCCATGCACATGCATTGGTGACACGCATAGGTAGGATATTGGAGTATGCGACTCATGTAAGTAACGTTCTGGTAGATGGTTGATTCGGAAGCCTAGTTTTTAAAGCATCAGTGTTTAGACGTTTTAAGCACTTCTTGGAATAGCTCATCGAGAGATTTTGCCCATGTGAATATAGTGATTACGGTATTTGATCAAGGTAACTGGATATTCTGCTTCTAAATCTTGCCACATTTGCACATGACCTAAGTGTTATCGGCAGATTACCCCACAGATAACTATAGCTGAGCAGGAATAAATTAGAGCGAACGTTTGTTCTGACCTTCAGTGTAATCAGTGTAAAATCTACCTTGCGAATCGATCGAGTTCAGCAATGTTGTAATTCGAGTGTAGGCAGGTCGGAATAGGTGTCTTTTGTAGCATGCTGAAGGACAGCAAACAAGTTGTGCTTTCAACATTCGAATCCAAAATTGTTGGAGTTTTCTAGAATAATGACTGTTACACATTCACCATTCGTGAACGAGCTTAATAGCCATTCTTTATTCTTCCTATTTTCTAATTCTTGACTGTTGCTTAAACGCTCCACTGTGTTAGCCCGATTGGTACACACAAGTCATTGTTAATGGACGCTCATCACCGTATCATCTTTAGCACTGCCATTTGCAATACACATTCCATTGGATTTTCCGCATCACTTTCCTACTTGGTTTAGCCAAAAGAATATTTAGTTGTTACACAAGTATTGTACCAGTTTAAATTTTTTAGTCTGCACTTCTTATTCTCGTTGGTTTCGTGACATTCGTTTAAACGCTACATTTCGTTATCCTGATTGGTCAGTGCCCGTCACTGTAAATGGATGTTCGCTTTACGCTTGGGGTCATATGATGCTATTTTTAAGGACATATGCGATTCGCTCTTGAGTACAATGTTACTTATTCGCCATTGCACTTGACGTTTTCCTTCAGTTGGTTGGCTCAAGTGTAATGTAGTAGCTTCCCATTATTTTGCATTCAAAACTATATAAACAAATGTGATTTCATGTATACAAGTCTGTTTCTGGCTCGTCTTTGAAGTTCTTCTTGCGGTCGAGGAGTGAAGGCGTCAGTGGCGACACAACAAACTTTCTGGCGACGGGGGTTCCGGTAAACATGTCGACTTCGTTCGAGCAAATGCAGACGCTTCCTCAAGAGCAACAACTGCAGTTTGATAAATCTCAACGACAGTTGATCGAATTGCTATCTCAGAAGCTGAACATCCAGAGTGAATCCCCGACAACAACCGCACAGCCATCTGTGGACGCCCTTGCGGCTTCAATCACAGAATTTGTTTTCCATGGAATAAACGGATTGACATTTGAATCCTGGTTCCTAAAGTATGAAGATAATTTTCGAGTGGAAGTTGCAGACCAAGACGATGCCTGGAAAGTTCGTTTGTTGTTGAGGAAACTTGGCGCAGTCGAGTATGAACGTCACACAAAGTTCGTGTTACTGAAGAATGCAAAAGACTTCAGTTTCGATGAGACGATGAAAACGCTGAAGCAGATGTTCGGTGAGCAGGCCTCTCTTTTTAGTATTCGCTACAATCATTTGAAGCTAGTCAAAGGCGATGTCATTGATTTTATCACAGATGCCGAGATCGTAAATCGCGAATGTGAACGATTCAAACTGCGTATGATGACACCTGATCAATACAAAAGTCTTATTTTCGTATACAGTCTCCAGTCCCACGCTGACGCCGAGATTTGAACACGAATTCTCCACAAGTTCGAACAAGAACCACAGTTGACGCTGCAAGAGATTACAGCCGAATATCAGTGACTGATTAATTTGAAGCATGGCATAAAAGTGACAGAAAATGCTGATCACAGGACAAAACCCCGGACTTGCCGCACAGCTATTCATGGTAAAGTGATGAACCGGAATCGGTCAACTCAGAAGCCCCTGACCGCATGCTGAAATTGTGGCGCTTGATATTTTGTGCGAGACTGTCTCTACAAAGGGCACCAATGTCACAAGTGCAAGCGGTTTGGTCATAAGGAAACCCACTGTCGAGTTGCGCACAACTTCAGACGTTCATTTCCCTCGAGATTGCGCACAAACTTCAACTTCAAAAGGGCTAAGTTTCATGGACCGGCCACAAAGGTAATTCGCGCTGCGTTTCGCAAGGGATTCGCAGGCAAGAGGAAGTATTTAACAGTAAAAGTCAATGATATTCCAGTCACCTTGCAACTAGATACGGCGTCCGACATCATTTCGCGATCCACATGGAGGAAGCTTCGGAGACCGTCATTCAAGCGCACAATTATGACGGCTCAGAATACATCCGGGGAACCGCTGACATTGGATGGAGAGATTGAATGTGAGGTCAGCTTCAAGGAACTGCAATTCCGTGGAACGATCTACCTAGTCTCATGCACCGACGTTAATCTACTTGGAATCGATTGGATTGAGAAGCTGAACTTCCTCAACGTACCACTGAATCATGTCTGTGCTGGAAGGAATGTCACGATGCACCATACAGGCATACTGACTTCTCCGGGTCAACGCATCTCCGAACAGCTTCAAACGAAGTACGCGTGTGCCTTTCAGTCGGAATTTTGGCACTGTAAGAAAATGTAGGCAAAACTTACTCTGCTTCCAGATGCTAGACCAGTGTTTCGATCCAGGCATCCTGTCCCTTATAATTCTCAAGCACTTGCTGAATAGGCGCTGGATCGATTGCAGCAGGCCGGAGTGATCGAGTGAGTCAATTTCTCACAGGGGGCTGCGCCTATTTTTGTAATCAGGAAACCGAACGGTTCTATCCGTTTGTGCGCACATTTTGCAACGGGCCTGAGTGCTGCACTGGAACCCCATCAGTATCCGCTTCCACTCCCTGAGGACGTGTTCGCAAAACCGAACGAAGGCAAGTATTTTGCTACTCTTGATCTTACAGACGCCTATTTGCAGTTAGAAATTGAACCCGAAAGCAGAAAGTTTCTAACAATCAACACGCATCGCGGTCTCCACCAGTACAACCGTTTGCCATGTGGAGTCAAAACGGCACCGGCAATCTTTCAGCAAGTTTTGGATGCCATGTTGACGGGTGTAACTGGAGCGGCAGCCTACCTGGATGACATCATCATAATGGGTTCGACGCAAGATGAATAATTTAACGATTGAATGACGTGTTGCAGAGAATCAAAAATAATGGTTTCCGATTGCGAGCGAACAAGTGCAGATTTTTCCTGAAGTCAAGTAAGTTCCTGGCTTTTGTGATTAACGAGAACGGCCGACGATCCGATCCCGTAAATATCGAAGAGCACCAAATATCTTGCCTAGACGACTGACCACACCCCACAATCACTTGAGTTAGTAACCTTTTCGCGGTTATTCCTGTACAAAAACTAAAATGCACAAAGCGGACCATCCTGGACACCTCAGATCGCCATCCTCAATAACTTGTGCAACGGTTACCGAAAGCTTATCTTTGTTTAATTGCCAACATATGCGCCATGGAAAACTACATGTATGTTTAGCGGTCTTCACGGAAAAAGCATGACAGGCCCAAAGGAACACCGAAGAAGCGCACGGTTGATGCCGAGGCGTAACACACCATTGTTTACAACTGTAACTGAAATGACACCGCAGCTTGAAGATTCACTCGCAAATGAACATACACCATCGAGGCTTTGCAAGGCAAAGCAATCAACTGGAGCGCGTTGAGTTTGAGTGAGAAAGTAGGTGTTTGGTAAGCTGCAAACACTCGTCGCAACAGCTATTCAGCCATTGGGACCAACTGAAAACAGAGGGAGATTGGTGGGGCCCCAGAAATTTCAAACGCGAGAAGTACCCTCCAGGGCAGTAGCTATCAACCGACGCTCATAATTAGCAGTAAGGTGTTATTGCTGAGTTTGATAAACTTCAGTCAATAAAATATCGGTTGATCGCGGGCAAAAATAATAATGCAGCAACGACACCACGAAATGGTGCAGATGAGAAGCAGAATGGAGACCAACAACAAAACAATATGTCTCATTAGAGCATTGTTAATAAGTTCATCGGGTGATTGACGTAAATGTCTCTAACGGGTTTCTGCGTCGGATTGGTACCAGAGTGTACAGTTTAAATGTTGTAATTTAACGCTGAACACAATGTGCGGTGCGCAAACACATACGTGCTTGTCGATTTTTCAGTACTTCAGTTGTCGGTGCCACGATTACTGACTCCAGAAAGACAACGCAATGATTATCACTGGAAATGGTCTAGCTGTCTCCAATATTCATCATCGACCGGTCCGAACAATGGATAGAACACCAAAGACAAAACTAGCGACCTAACTCCATACACACATTTCTGTGTTAGACCTTGGCAGATGATCTCGGCGATCAGGTAATGTATTTCAAGATCGAGCAACTCTGTATCCAACTGGACGGCGAAGAGACATGGACTTGGATAGCTAAGTCCGTCACATTAATTTCTTATCAGTATTATGCACATGTGTCTTACGTCAAGGGTGTGCTCACGGTCCGCACACAGTCGTCTCTGGAAGCCAGCTTTGAAGTTTCGAATTGCTTTGAGAAATCGTTTCGGCATTCACTGAAACTCCCAAATGATTCGTGCCAATGTGTGCACACAAAAATAGCATGTTGATCAGGATTTTAAAGCCGCGAAGCTACACAATGGTAAATAATGGCGCTTATATAATATCAAATTGAAATATAGGTGTGGATGACGCGTCGCTAGGTAGAGAAGACGGCTGACAGAACATACCCAAGTAACGGGAGCGATCCACCAGTCTGTAGCGCACAAATTCAACTTACAGAGAGAAGAATATTCCCTTTGCGTAAAAGTACGATGCCCCATTTTCCGCAATAAATAATGTCATTTAATGATAGTTGAACCACTAAAATGCTTCAGTATGCATTTAAATAAGAGGACACAATTCTGTGGGTGAAAGCAAATAAATGCTCCGTTGAGAATGATAAAATATGGTAAAAGCGGACGTTTCTGATGAATGAATTGCTGCCAACGTGAAAGTTGTACGTGCATATGGCTGCAAGTCATATGCTGCGCTCCCAGAGGCAACAGTTAGAAAGTATGGCCGAAAACAAATATCTATACCTTGCACAAAAAATTTCAGAAAACGATCATTAAAAAGAAAATAAAGATGTTTAAGTAATTCGAGGAGAAATTACTGTAGTAAGCTGTTGTGTACATATTAAATAATTGATAAATGTGTTGTTCACCAAGAATTTTAAAAAAAGGCCATCCTTATATCCAGCTGAAATACAGACTGGTGGGGCACTGCCGAAAGAGCAGTGCATTCCATTGGCTTCAAGGATTTTGGAGATCTCCAATCAGACATTTCATTGTTACGACAGGAACAACGCAAAAAGGTTGCAAACCAACAATGCATGCAACATTCAACTCACTCAAGTGAACAGACTTTTCGTGGACTCGGAGCCTAACCAACAGAGAAAAGGTCTTCACACAGTATTTGCATTTGTGAGGTCGCTCATCTGAGACGAATAAGAAGAATATGATAGTTAAATACAGCGTAACAAAAAAGTAATGTTGTGGTGGAAATATGATGTGATGCCGTAAGTACAATCAGACAGACTTTCAGCGATTGACCAAACGATGATGAATATCATCGCTACACATAATTTGACAAGCTTGTCGTACCGGATTTGAAGTGGGTCGCTCACCAACTCTGTTTCGAACGCACAGTGGTGAATGTGTGGAACGACCTGCCGCAGCACGTAGTTGAGGCAAAGTCGGTGTCGGAATTTAAGAAGTTCCAGTACAAACACTGCAGAGGAAAAATATATTGAGCGCAATACAACACAACGAGTCTTCGTCCCTGAGTGACATTGGATGCAGCTACACAGAGAAAACTCTACTTGCTGCTTCCAACCAGTAATCAGACAGGTTAGCTGCAGATGGAAAACAACTCAGCTATTGTGCTGCAATACAAATGAAAAAAACATGCAACAGTGGCACGCCGTCAACTGAACGAGCTCCTTCGCCACAAAAGTAGCACGGACATTGCAGCGCTGGCTGGGGATCTGGACGCTCAACTCGGAAAATAACCCAATGATGACGATGTAGGCTCCCTTAGTGATAACGGTGAGCGGTTACTTCATTTGTGTGAAGATTCCCACCTATTTCTTGTGAGAACTAACTTCAGACAAAGCACCCGCCGGAGAGTGGCTTGACGCCTATTAGCTTCGAACCAGTCTTGGACGCAAATCGATCACACTGCGATCAGTTGCCGATGGAGAGGCTAGGTCTAGAAATGTCGATCGATTTGGAGCAGATGTTGAAACCGAGCATGCGCTTGTATTTGATGACCTGCGGATGCGTTTTGGAGGACGCCCACGACGATGCTGTGAGCTGTTCTGAATGGGAAACGAAGTACGCTGACAAGCGAGTGGAGTCAACGGTCATTGGATACAACTGAAGATCAATGGTCTCATGTTAACCAGACCCTCCAAATAGCACGCAAGTCCTTATGTTGTATGTCTAATAGCCAACACGGATATTGGGTCTTTTCGCGGTCTCTGGAACTTAGTGATGTTTGCCGGCACATTCCGTTTAGAAGCGAACACAATGAGACACACAAAAACCTCCGGACAAAATTCCGCGCTAGCCTGTGGAGAGACCTTGGATATTGGTGGCATCATCGTGCTTCAGAATGCTGAAAGTAGAGAGCGAGAGGATAAAAAACACCGTTGCTCCATCGTAGGCTGCTCAGACACAAGCGTAGAAGTACGTCGATGATTCCTGCGCGGTGGCAGCATACTGAAGCTGTAGTGCATCTTATGCAGTAGTCCGCAAACTGGGCATCAAGGAATCTCTTAAATTCAGACACCAATTACGCCTCCACTAGCTTATCCGGCAATTTGTTATAATATTTCACCACTCGGCAGTCGAAGCGTAGAGGGTGAGCAATACACTTTAAATCCGGTACCACTAGTTTGTACCGGTGTCCTCGTGTGTTGCTTAAAGTGTGAATTTGAAACAGCGGCCTCAACATATGGAAGTGGCCCAAGTGAAGTGTCCGGTGCGTCATACTCAGAATAAACTCGAAGCCGACGACATGACAGGGTGTAAAGCCCTATCCCCCTATATCGGTCCTCGTACGACGTACCCAGTGCGCAGGAGATGAGCGGGATGTTAACACGTCGGACGCGTTCCAGTCTTTGCACCTCACCTATTGTAATCGGACAGTAGGCGGGTGAGCCGTACTAAAGTACTGGTCTTACCATGGAAGAGAACAGACGGGTGACAATCTCCTAAGACAAAGTGCAGAAGCTGCGTCTAAGTGTTCAAAGCAGGTGTAATCTGCGTGCAGTCTGTTCATGTTGTCGAGAGACTTCAGATCACAGCGTGAGAGTACGATAAGATCCTTTACAGAACTAGTGGGATGCAGCCGGTGGTCAGCCAGGGTGTATACACGCCCACTACAACCCCTCCGAAAGTTCATAAATGAGGACTTGGCCAGATTGACCGGTAGGTCAATTTCTGTGGACCACCGGGACAGGCGGTCGAGGTCCTGCTGAAGGACGTCACAGTCGGCGGGAGAATCAATAATCCTCCAAATCTTCAGGTCGTATGTAAACTATGCACAGGGTGACCAATGAAGCTGAGGTAATTCGTTAGTGTCAGTCAGGAACAAAAGGAGCCCCAGTACTGTGCCTTGGGGTACACCGCTAGTGGACGGGTACCATTCCGTTAGGTGGTCATCCACCCGAACCCGCCATCTTCTCTCGACAAGGAACTCGCTAATCCACTGGTGCAGTGCGCCACCAACACCATACATCCTCAGCTTGTGGAGCAGAAGATAATGGTTAACTTTAACGAAAGCTGTATTAAAATCAATGAAGATAACGTCCAATGAGTTCCCCCTATTTAACGCTTGCAAGCACGCCTGTCGCGTCAACAGCAGATTGGTGATGCACGAGAGGTCGTTCATGAAGTCTTGCTGTGTAGGCATTAGATCTTTCGACTCCAGCGGCTAAAGAAGACTCTATTTCACAATCTTTTAAAGTACCTACGCCAAAACAGAGGTGAGACAAATCGGCAGGTACTTGTCTACATTGCGTGCGTCACCGCCTTTTGGAATCGGATTCACTACCGAGCATTTGCAGTCGCTCAGCAATGCACCCTTGGACAGCGATTTGATGGACAGATCCGTCACTGCAGGCGAGATGATGGCCGATAAGGACTTTAAAATTAGTGAAGGAAGTCCATCGGGTCCGGCAGGTTTCGTGCCATCAAGACTGCGGACGTCCACACTGCAATCCAGGCCCTCGAATACAGTAGCGGCTGCACACGTGGAGCTCAGAATAGGCGCATGACCACTTGTAAATACGGAAGTGAAGTGTTCCGCCACTGCGGACGCAGGTTCGGTGCTGGAGGTCAGAGGCTGTCCGTCTGTGCCCTTTAACACAGCTACGTCACTTGCGGTCCACAGACACCAGTTCAGGTGAGCAAACATTTTCCTAGGGGTCGTCTTAGCTGAGATTGCAAGCTCCTCTTCGAGCTACCGACGCATTCGCAAATTTGCGCTACCGCATAGATTCCGCTGCCTTTTGTACACCATATAATCCTCGGCAGAGCCAGACACGAGGAATTTAGTCCACAATACGTGTCGCCGTCAAGCCAATTGAAGATACTCTCTGAAGAACCAATGTGGTTTCACTGATCCAACTTTCCGGTACTTCAGGGGTACGAAACGAGCGCACGACTGCACACCCTTTTATAACATAACAACAGGTTTCAACAGATGTACGCTGTGGCAGTGACCAGCCTACTTCACTGTCGGCTCGACTGAGTCCATCGAAGTCGGTCTTCCAATAATTGTGGGACGGCTAAGGCAGACGCGTGTAGAACAGCGACAGCCTAATGCTGGCAAGCCCTATAGAAAGGTCAGTAGCTGCCAGAAGCTCCAGGACTTGAATTTCATATACACATTGCTCGCAACTCGTTAGTAGTAGGTCCAGGTACGATGGGGCGAATTGCGGTGTAACGTGCGTCAGTTGGCAGATTTGCTGTGCTGCCCCAGGTTCAAATACTCCGCAAATACTCCGCAAACTGTGCCTCGATTTCACAGTGCCCGGTGAGAAGTTGAGCCACAGGCCACCGCATTGGAGGAGTTAAAATCGCCCATAAGCAAGAAGCGGGGCTGACTCATGTCAGTTCTGACACGCGGCAATCAATCCAGCCATGGACCTCGCGGGCTACGATAAGCCGCAACCACAAACAGTTCGCCCTGTCTCAGACGGATCGAACACCATAACTGTGTGCTGCGGTATGTGTGTGCCAGCCTTCCACACAGCGAGGAGAAAATGTGAAACAGCACGCCGCCCCAATCGTTTGATAGTATGTCGCACCGGAAACACGAGTAGCCACTGACTTGGACTTCCTGTGTAGTGACCTTAAGATTTAACCGGGTTTCGACCAGCCCTAGAAGGTCTGGAGAACGAGAGACAACGAAGTGTCGTACATCGTCACGTATTTTCATTAAGCTAAAACATTTGTGAAGGCTACGCGCAGGCCGCGGCAGGAACCGAAGGACGCGCACGAAGCGTCATCGACCAGTTGATCCGGGTACGGCGCACCCAAAGAACTACCCGAAAATGTATGAGGCGGAGATTGGTTGCTTTACTATCAGTCCGCCGCTTCGATTCCACGGTAAACGGACATAAGTTTCTCTCTGTCTGACGGATCCAAGTCGAAACGAATATGGATCTTTAGACCTGTTAGCCTTCCGAAGCGGGATAATATAAGCCTCAGACTTCTTGCATCAATAAAGGTGACTCGCAGAGGCCGGGATTGCCCCTCCTCTCGCTGTCTAAGACGGATGATATGCTTCACCTACAACCCCTGTTCATTCACGTCGAGAAGGCTATCAATCAGGTTCTGAAGAAAATCTACGTGATGGTCATAAGGAGCCTGAGCACTAGCATCCGTAGACTCAGGCGCAAGAAGTTTTAGGTTACAACGCCGCTCATTGCTGGTAGTGGTCTTCTCCATATTTCTTCGCTGCCTACTCCATTTCCTTTTATAGCCTGTGCTATCACACGCCGGTATTACAGTGTCCGTAGGACGCAACACAGGCACGCACGCTGATGCTCCAGCAACGGGTGGACACCGCTCAGCAGAGCCTACAGCCAGGGGGCAGGCGATCTCGTTCGAACATAGAGGTGGCTGGGTTTCCGCTGGCTTATATGAACCCACGGAGCTCCTCCCTATCGAACGTTTCGCCCGTCTTGTAGGCTCGCGCAGCTTTTCCACAGTTTGTGACTGCACAGTGGCTTAACGTTACATGCAGGATATCTGGAAATTATCATGCTGAAATTCATGCCAAATTTTAAAATTATCTAAAGACAAACCAATACACGAAAAGTGGAAAGTCACACGACACACAAAGCATGTAACAGCATTGATTCTATGCTCGACTATTTTGCAACAAGTGCTACAGGAAGTCAGCTTGGTCATTACGGATAGCTTA